AATTAGTGTCCAAAAGACTGAGCAGTTTGTCTGGAAAATTGTACAAGAAAGCGGGTCAGGTTTGCTGCTCCTTGTTATGCAGCTGGGATGGGAATTTGTAGACTTGCGTTCCGGCAATTGGTCAACTGGTTGTTTGCTTAAAGCTGCCCTGTTTAAGGGCTTTTAAGAAAATCCCTTTTTGCTTAGTGTTTATGATTTCCAGATGTAATCTTGAGTGCCTCCTTTTAAGAACATAAGAAGAACTTTCTGGATCAGGCCAATGAATTACAGACAAGCATCTGTTCTCAGAGTGGTTAAACAGATGTCCTTGGGGAACCCACAAACAGGATTCGATCACAGAATGACAACAACAACAACAACAACAACAACAACAACAACAACTTTATTATTTATACCCCACGCATCAGGCTGGGTTTCCTCAGCCACTCGGGGCGGCTTCCAGCGCATACAAAAATATGATAAAACATCAAACATTAAAAGCTTCCCTAAACAGGGCTGACTTCAGATGTTTCCTAAAAGTCAGAGAGTTGTTTATTTCCTTGACATCTGATGGGAGGGTGTTCCACAGGGCGGGTGCCACTACCAAGAAGGCCCTCTGCCTGGTTCTCTGTAATCTCGCTTCTCGCAGTGAGGGAACCGCCAGAAGGCCCTCGGCGCTGGACCTCAGTGTCCGGGCTGAACGATGGAGGTGGAGACGCTCCTTCAGGTCTACTGGACCGAGGCCGTTTAGGGCTTTAAAGGTCAGCACCAACACTTAGAATTGTGCTCGGAAACGTACTGGGAGCCAATGTAGGTCTTTCAGGACCGGTGTTATATGGTCTCAGCGGCTGCTCCCAGTCACCAGTCTAGCTGCCGCATTCTGGATTAGTTGTAGTTTTCAGGTCACCTTCAAAGGTAGTCCCACATAGCGCGCATATCCCAATTAATCACAATCCTAATATTTATTCATTCCTAGGGTTTAGGAGGCCTCCCCCCCCCAATTTATAACAATAGTTTATATGTTGTTTTAACTGACTTCCTCCTTCAGGGACGCTGGGCCAATAGTTTCAACTGACCATGCAACAGGAACTGCCCATCAAACATGTTTCACAATTCAGCAACTTGAATAGGATATTGCGTAAATACAAATATTTCGCAAGAAATTTAGTGTGGCTTAGAACCGAAGCCAGCTGTAAATTAATGTTTGTGCAGGATTGATGATGCCAAACCTTAAGCATGCAGAAATCTGGTTTCTATCAGGATGGTCAGAGGGAGGGTGTTTGTGCTGTCTAGAATTAGGAAGCGCTGGGATATATGCATCCTGTCTTGGACTGACTGTTCAAATCTAAGAAGAAACCACTAGCTGACACTGAATTTTAACTTAAGAGCAGTCTGATGGAGATCATTGGTTTCAGGTTGGCAGGGCTCGTAAATATATAAAATGAAAACTTTGCAGGCATTTTCAGGTGTGACGCATCCAGGTTTTTAAATCAAAATCTCTCATTAAAAACTAAACACCCCACGAGCAGAATAGGCAAAGGCACCACCCACATACAAATTTGCTTTCGCTTTCTTCTCAAGCATCTCTGACAGTTTATCTTTACATCAGAATAGATCAGACATGCCAGGAATGAAAAAATGCTTCTCTTCTTTGCCTGCTAGTTAATGGTTACAAGTATTGCAAAAATTAATTAAAACAGTTTTAGGGGTAAGCTTTCATGTGCATGCACACTTCTACAGATGCACTTGTATAAGCACACGAAAGCTTATACCTAAAACTACTCAGTTGGTCTCTAAGGTGCTACATTATAATTTTTAAATTCTTTTGGAAGGTTTTTTTTCAAAGACTTTCTTAGATCATATAACTTTTTTGAAGACTTGATTCGTTTAAGGGAGTTTTTAGGTTTTTAAGAGGAGTCTTTTTAACTTTCTTTTTAAAGAATTGTTTTAATTTCTTTTGACTACGGCAGACCAACACTTGAATCTTGCAAAAATTAAACTTGGGGGAGAATTGAACTTGCATTAGGGCTGCAAATCAAGATCCCCTTGTGTAAAATTGGGGGCATCTCAACAGCATCCCTTTAAAACAGGCATAGGCAAACTCTGGCCCTCCAGCTATTTGGGACTACAATTCCCATCATCCCTAGCTAACAGGACCAGTGGTCAGGGATGATGGGAAATGTATTCCCAAACATCTGGAGGGCCAGAGTTTGCCTATGCCTGCTTTAAAACAATTATATTAATCCCAAAGTGTGGCTCTCTTCATATGACTGAGTTGCGCCTGGATGCATTCCATAAAAGTGCAAAGGTCAAAGGGGCATTGCATTAACAGCCTCTGTTGTTGGCCAGGAGTTAATCTGAACTCGAGCTGCTATGCATTATTTGGGTCCTTTCCTGCAGTCAACCAGGCTTAGAGGAATGGTGGGGCCTAGAGCGAGGGTCCAGTGTCATAGAAGACAGAGGTGGAAGGGACAGAGAAAAGTGTAGGATATTGGCTACATTTGGGTGTCACAATACACTGTGGCTTATTGTGATAGAAATGTGCTGTCGGGGGCTTTGAGCTGTCACGCTCCTTTTCCTCTGGCATGGCTGCGAGGAGGTGATTTCAAACCACTGCTGCTGTTTTTTAAAACCACAGTTTACTGTGCCCTTCAAGCCCTAAACTGTGGTTGATCTTAGCTACAGTTTGTGGAGAGTGGCCAGCTTTCGTAACCCGCAGTTTGGGTTGTTAAGATTAAGCATGGCATGTTGGATTTGGACAAACGGACCAGCAGTGGTTAATCGGAAGCAGAGAGCTTCCAAATTCTTCCTCGAACCTTGCAATGTCTCATTCAGGTCACGATAAACTGTGGCTTATTGTGATGCCTAAATGCAGCCTCATCAAGAGAGGACTGGAGAAGAGAGTGCACTCAGAGGTTTTCTGAATCACTTCCCTTCCTCCATTCATTGAGGAGATGAGTAATGCGGTGATTTTATTTTTCATTAATACAAATCATTCTGGTTCCCAAGCATTGCTGCTTTGCCAGAAAGCTGCAGCCAAGGTTGAAGTAGGAGGGAATACTGAACAACACTTGAATAGAGAGCAGCTTCCACTATTATTTCCATTTATTTATTTATTTTCTCTCTCATTTTTTTACTTCAACATTCTCTTCCAGCCGTTCATTTCTTTACCTCTCTCGGCTCCTGTTCCTGCTTCGTCTCCAGAGACCGAGGCACGCTGTAATGTCAAATGCGCTAACACTTATCCAGTGAAAACCAGCCTGCTTTGAACTTAACCTTGGCCAAATCCATAAAACAGGACAGAGGTGGGGAAACCGAGGGCCACATGCCAGTGGTGGGCAGGGCCAGAGGTAAATTGGGAAGAGCGTTGGATGTGAGTTTTTCCACTGAAAAGTAGGCCGCAGCCCACCACACAAAGGCCAGATGTTTCTACATAAACCGCTGTCAATTGTAAGGGCAGGTGGGCGTGGCTTGAGCAAAATGGCGTCACAGGTGAATCGGGGAGGCCTTTTGTGCCTTATTAGGCCTACGGACTTGAGCTTCCTCATTGTTTCCTTCGATCAATAAAACAGGAGTTGAGAAAGATTGTGTGCCCCTTCTCCTCTAACTCCAGCTCAGAGCCAGCAGATGGCTTCTCCCAAGGCTTCATTGCCCCAGCAAGACCCACCTTCTAACCCCTCCTCAAGCGGTCTTCCAAGAAATGCGATTGGAGGTCATTGAATGATCTTGGACCATTAATGGCCTTTTTGCTTTGCTGCTGTCTTTCTGCTTACCAGTCTCTTGTGGCGGTGAGGGGAGGAAATAATGTATGACAGGCAGGAAATAATGTATGATAGTGATCTACTATCCAGTATAAAAAAAACTGGCAGTGATCTACCACCCTCTGAAGTAATTGAAGTTCAATCAATCAATCAATCTTTATTTCACAGATACAGTAGTTATGTTTGGGTAGCTTCATGACAGATCCAAATATTTATTAGATGGACAAGTAACTAAACAAGTGAGAAAAGTCACACTATGTATATTTGTATTAGTTTACACAGTTGTGAGGAGCCAGTCAGAGTGCACCAGGCTCTCTCTCTCTCTCTCTCTCTCTCGCTCTCTCTCTCTCTCTCTCTCTCACACACACACACACAGCATCCCCATTCCCTCTCTCCACCTCAGTCTTTCCCCTAAAAAGGTAAAGGAACCCCTGACCATTAGGTCCAGTCGTGGCCAACTCTGGGGTTGCAGCGTTCATCTCGCTTTATTGGCTGAGGGAGCCGGTGTACAGCTTCCGGGTCATGTGGCCAGCATGACTAAGCCGCTTCTGGCAAACCAGAGCAGTGCACGGAAACGCCATTACCTTCCCGCTGGAGTGGTACCTATTTATCTACTTGCACTTTGATGTGCTTTCGAACTGCTAGGTTGGCAGGAGCAGGGACCAAGCAACGGGAGCTCACCCGTCGTGGGGATTCGAACCACCGACCTTCTGATCAGCAAGTCCTAGGCTCTGTGGTTTAACCCACAGCTCCACCCGCGTCCCAGTCTTTCCCCTACTGTTGCTTTAAATCACAGTTGACTTCGTGCAGCCTGTGACCGACAAAAATCAGTCCGTGATCTATGAGTTGATTGTGATTGACGTGTTGGACACGCCTGATGTATGACATCTTGAGCTTCTTGGAGGAAGTGTGGGTGCAACTATGGCTGATAAAAAACTCCTTGCCAGATAAAGACATTGTTAGGCAAGATCTGGAAGAAGCCATGAGCCCCACATCTTCTCTTCCTCTTTTGATCACTGCACTTATAAGACAAAATCTTGACACCTGCATCCTTGCTTCCATACTTCCGCCCTTCCAACAACATGTTCCTAGACCGTGAATGCAATTTGTTCATATGGCCAAAATGACCTTTCGTTTCTCTCACGGAAACTCGGCAGTTTATCAACGTTCCGTCGCTCGCATCTTTGATTCCATTGTACCAGAACCTTGCCTCTATCTCGCCTCCTTTATACAATGTTTTCTCTTTCTTCTTTTCTGCAGAGATTTGAAGAGCTCGAGGCAAAATCTTCTGGGCTCCTCACACTCCAGTCACAGGAAAAGATCTAAATCTGTTTCATGAAGACTGCGGTTTGGTTGATTGTCAAGATGATTGCCTGCTGGAAAACCTGTGTCTTGGCAGCCATTTTTCTTCCTCTGGTAAGTAACCCTATGAGTGTTGCCATCACATCAAGCTACCTTCCTACAACCTGCATTCTTTTGGGGTAGATACCCTGGTTGCCTATGCAACTCTCCATTCCCACAACCCAGAGGTTGTTCAAGTGTGGAAAGGGGAAAATAAAAGACCAGTTCCTGAGCACACATTCATGATATTTTCAGCTGTGAGGGAGACATTTAACCTTTCAGTTTTCAGGAGTGAGGAAGCCTCATATGACTCTAACCAGACTCATGGGTGTCCACATGAATTTTTCCAGGGTGGGGGTCAAGTTTGAAGACTGAAAGGCAGGGGTGCAGACCAGCGTGTCAACCAAAAATGGAATAACGCCTGCACATTTTCTTTCATATATCAGGTTTTACAAATTCTAAAAGCCTTTTTTTAAAAAAAGGAATCTGGAGATTATGTTTCATGGCGGGACTGAGGAGGGCAACTGTAAAAAAAGGTAAAAGGTAAAGGACCCCTGGACGGTTAAGTCCAGTCAAAGAGGACTATGGGGTATGGCGCTCATCTCGCTTTCAGGCCGAGGGAGCCAGCGTTTGTCCACAGACTGCTTTCCGGGTCATGTGGCCAGCATGACTAAACCACTTCTGGCGCAATGGGACACCGTGACAGAAGCCAGAGTGCATGGAAATGCCGTTTACCTTCCCACCGGAGTAGTACCTATTTATCCACTTGCACTGGTGTGCTTTTGAACTGTTAGGTTGGCAGGAGCTGGGACAGAGCAACGGGAGCTCACCCCGTCGTGGGGATTTGAACCGCTGACCTTCTGATAAGCAAGCCCAAGAGGCTCAGTGGTTTAGACCACAGCGCCACCTGTGTCCCTACTGTATCTCTTCCTCGCTGCAGATGTTTATGCCCAGATCCCTCCATTGTTTGGCCCCGTGGTGAAGAGATTTGAGTGGAGAGTCTCTTGACATGTAGAATTGTGTCCTGAACCTGTTGACCAAATTGTCTTCCGGTATAGAGATATTCAAGTGAGATATTGTCCATGGGGGCGGGGCGGGAACCAGGGGACTCCCTTGGCTTGGCCAACAAACAAACAAATAAATAAAAATCAGATAAACAGTGACTTAAAACTTTGATTCTTGGGGCACTGTTGCTGCAAAGTCTTATTGGTAGTAGGTTATCTTCATTTCTTTGAGGGACTGCTGACACCAGGTCCTTCAAGTGGATTATATGGACTGCAAACCTATCTTTTGAAGGCGGCAATAATTGTAACTTCACATTGTAAAGAGTGTCCGAGTCGGTGAGAAATGCTATGAATCTTTGGAGAGGGAGAGAGACACAGAGATAATGTTTTTCCATTAACACTACTTTGCCTTTGTTCTTCCGGAGCCAATATGTTCATTACAAGAGCGATGCTGGGTCATTAATTTTCTCTAATGTTGTTCATGGTGGCCTACAATGGTGGCGTTTGCAAAGCAGTTCCTTCTGGATTTCTCTGCCTGCCAAGACAGTTATTTGCTCGCAATTCCAAGAGACCTATTGGGCTTGCACAGTTTTGGAAGCCCCGTGACACCTGCTGTGTTGTCATCCTCTGTTGTCCTGCCCTGTGTATTTACAGACTCAGATTGCTTCTTTGTTGTTGTTTCATTTAGTCGTGTCCGACTCTTCGTGACCCCATGGACCAGAGCACACCAGGCATTCCTGTCTTCCACTGTCTCCCGCAGTTTGGTCAAACTCATGCTGGTGGCTTCGAGAACACTGTCCAACCATCTCGTCCTCTGTCATCCCCTTCTTCTTGTGCCCTCCATCTTTCCCAACATCAGGGTCTTTTCCAGGGAGTCTTCTCTTCTCATGAGGTGGCCAAAGTATTGGAGTCTCAGCTTCAGGATCTGTCCTTCCAGTGAGCGCTCAGGGCTGATTTCCTTCAGAATGGATAGGTTTGATCTTCTTGCAGTCCATGGGACTCTCAAGAGTCTCCTCCAGCACCATAATTCCAAAGCATCAATTCTTCGGTGATCTTATCCACACATAAATGAGAGCTGCAACCAAGGCCCCAAATGCGCTATTCATTTAAAGCAGTAGCATACTAGTACTTTAAATACTCGTGGCTTCTCCCCACCCCACAAGAATCCTGGGAATTGAAGAATAAGAGACTTTATATAGCTCGCTGAGCGTCACCTCATCCCCTTCTCACACAACTTGTTCAGTCTTCTGTTTAACATAAAAAGGTAATGGACCCCTGACAGTTAACTCCAGTCTCGAACGACTCTGGGGTTGCGGCACTCATCTCGCTTTACTGGCCAAGTGACCCGATGTTAGTCTGCAGACAGTTTTTCCAGGTCATGTGGCCAGCATGACTAAGCCACTTCTGGCAAACCAAAGCAGTGCACAGAAATGCCATTTACCTTCCCGCTGGAGTGGTACCTATTTATCTACTTGCACTTTGACGTGCTTTCGAACTGCTAGGTGGGCAGGAGCAGGGACCGAGCAACAGGAGCTCACCCCGCTGCGGGGATTCAAACCGCCAACCTTCCGATCGGCAAGCCCTAGACTCAGTGGTTTAGACCACAGCGCCATCCGCGTCCCTGTTTAACATAAAAGGTAAAGGTAAAGGGACCCCTGACCATTAGGTCCAGTCATGGACGACACTGGGGTTGCGGCACTCATCTCGCTTCATTGGCAGAGGTAGCTGGTGTACAGCTTCCGGGTCATGTGGCCAGCATGACTAAGCCGCTTCTGGCGAACCAGAGCAGCACACAGAAATGCCATTTACCTTCCCACCAGAGCGGTACCTATTTATCTACTTGCACTTTGATGTGCTTTCAAACTGCTAGGTTGGCAGGAGCAGGGACCGAGCAACGAGAGCTCACCCCGTTGCAGGGATTTGAACCACTGACCTTCTGATCGGCAAGTCCTAGGCTCAGTGGTTTAGACCACAGTGCCACCCGCGTCCCTCTGTTTAACATACCTTTCTTTAAAAGATGATTGTATGGATTCAAGGAGATAGGTCCACCTGCAGGTTCTTGTCATGATGACTACATTCTCCCTCCACTGTCAGAGTCAGTTTGCCCCTGAATATCATTTGCTGGGGATCTCATGGAACCTCAATGGCTTCTCATGGAAGCTTCATCTAATGGAATCATAGAGTTGGAAGGGACCTTGGGGATCATCTAGCACAACCCCTTGCAATACAGGAATATGCAGCTGTTCCATATGGAGATTGAACCTGCAACCTTGGTATTTTCAGCATCATGCTCTAACCAACCACCATAACGTGCGGCCTAGGACCTTCATATCTATGGGACCGCCTCTCCTGGTATGCCCTGCGGAGGACCTTAAGGCCCACAAACTTTAACAACACTTTGGAGGTCCCGAGCCTCAAGGAGGTCAGATCGGTTTCACCTAGGGCCAGGGTATTTTCAGCACTGGCCCCGATGTGGTGGAATGCTCTGTCACAAGAGACTAGGGCCCTGTGGGACTTGACATCTTTCTGCAGGGCCTGCAAGACAGAGCTGTTCCACCTGGACTTTGGTTTGGACTCGGTCTGACCCTTATGTTTCCCTCCCCTTATGGTCTTGATTTATCAGCTACTTTAAAATGAGGCTGCATTTTAAATTGCATTTTAACCTGTATTTTAAATTGCTTCCCCCCCTTTCCCCCCTCTCTGTTTCACCTATTATGTTTTTACTGTGATTTTATTGGTGTTAGCCACCCTGAGCCCGGCTCTGGCCGGGGAGGGCAGGTATAAATAAAAATTATTATTATTATTATTATTATTATTATTATTAGTGTGTTGCACTCAGTCCTGGTTTGTGGGCTTCCCATGGAAATCTGGCTGGCCACCGTGAGAACAGGATACTGGACTGCGTGGGCCTTTGGTCTGATCTAACAGCCGAGCACTTACCGTATATTTTGCTCTATAAGACTCACTTTTTCCCTCCTAAAAAGTAAGGGGAAATGTGTGTGCGTCTTACGGAGTGAATGCAGGCTGCGCAGCTATCCAAGAAGCCAGAACAGCAAGAGGGATTGCTGCTTTCACTGCGCAGCGATCCCTCTTGCTGTTCTGGCTTCTGAGATTCAGAATATTTTTTTTCTTGTTTTCCTCCTAGGTGCGTCTTGTGGTCTGGTGTGTCTTATATAGCGAAAAATACGGTAGATTATGGCTGCTGTCAAAGTGTTTTTGCCAGGGAGACCAAGTGAAGCCGCCGCTGAGGAAACGCAGGGGTGAAACCTTCAGCGCACATGTCCCCTTTAAGCTGGCTACAAAAGATGCGCGGGAAACAATTTGATTTGTGAGTCACAACGTTGCCTTGAGGGCTTTGAGCTGAATTTTAAAGCCAACTGCAATGCAGGTGTTTGAATTGCCAGTAATGATTCAATCAGGTGGATTTTTGGCGCTAAGGACTGGCACTTCCTCCAGATGCCTTTGTAGCGCTTCAAGGTTGGAGTGCGCAGATAATAAATGGTTCCTGCCTTAGGCTGCAATTAGTATGATAAGGCTGGTTTTTAAGGGAAGGCGCGAGCGGCACTCTGCTGTGCTAATGACAGGGTGTGAAGGAACACTGTGAATGGCAGAGAGGTAAATACAAGCCCGGGAGAATATGGGGAAGAGGAGGGAGGATTGCTCAGTGGTGGAACTCAGTCGTTGCATCTGCAAGGTCCTCGGTTCAATCCCAGACATCTCCAGTTACGAAAGATCTCAAGAATAGCAGGACTGTCCGTCTGAGACCTTGGAGATTTAGGCAGCACTGCATTCCATCTTCCTGACATTTCCTTCCATGATAACTTTCCCGTTTTATGTGACCTTTCACACAATATAAAAGACACTTCTGAAAATCTAGCGGAATCTAGCAGGCATTTGGTGCTCATTTCCATGTCAATTGCTTCTCAGTTGACCCAGAAATTGAGGGCGTTTTGTACTGTATTTCCACCTGCCCAAGTTTTCATAGATCGTACCATCACCCCTCCCTTCCCAAATGCAAAGGAGATAAAGGTAAAGGGACCCCTGACCATTAGGTCCAGTCACAGACAACTC